CCGCGTGCCAAACGTTGCCGACCCCTGGTCTATATCAATAAAAACTCCAGGCAAGATTTTCAAACCTAGGAGCTTGGAGGTATAGTAGACTCCTAATTTTATATTTAGGCATCTAAATAAGTGGCCTGACTTTCAGAAGTGCTGAGCACCTACAACTCCCACTGAAGTTCGTGGGAGTTGCATGTGCTGAACAAGTTTGAAAATCCGGCTTTTATTTAGGTGCCTAAAATTAGGCACTTAAGTTTTAAATGTTTTGATCTATATCCCTAAAAGCAATAATATCCACTAAGAGAGTCTGTGAAATCCAGATCCTGATGGCTGTCACTCTTTACATAGTGTTGCATAGCAGAAAGTGATTTTATGACTGAACCCCCACATTTTTACTTTAGGTCTTCCCTAAGTTCCATCTGAACATATATTTACATGTATTTCCCCCTTAAATTGAATTTGTTACTGGAGGAAGCCGCACTGAACAGTTGAGATGTTAAAAGGCCCCAAATTATCTTGATAAAAACTTAAATATTTTCTAACCTACCTATTTGTTTCTGGTGTATGAAGACAATCTGGGGGAATGTCAAACTTTTATACAAACCAGTTATGCCCTTGCAGGTTTATCAGTGCCCACTGACTCTAAAGCAACTTCTACAGCACTTCTTGGGTATGTCTGCATCTCTGAAATATGCAAGGCTACTACCTGGAGGTGCATTCACGCATGTACACACACTTCACAGAGTAGTCCTGATACCTTTATTTAACTAGTTCTCCTCAGCTCCACCCCCTTAAAGTGTTTTTATTGCTGATTTCCCAAGATCTTCAGAATTTATTCTGACACTAATTAGAGAAAGTAAAGATTACTTACCATTAATTGGTTTCAATAGATATGGATTCACACTCATCACCCTTCATCCCTGCTCTTCAGAGTTTTTCATGTAGAATCTAAGTAGGTGAAAGAAACCAGCATCTCAGAGCTAAGGCTCTTTATAAGTTTGTAGTGAACATTCAGTTCTGTGAGGGAGTAGTCTTTGCTTTTCTACAGCGTTTTGGCTCTAGTTTACAGTCTGCATGTGCACCTATTCTACTTTGAAGTATCAGGATTAGGTGTAAGTAGTCGTCTGTGTTTTTCGATGATATTCTATCTGGAAACAGGATTAATGACATTTTATCCCGATCTATATGCAAGATGTTTATTGCCTCTTAATTATTCCATATCTTGTCTGTTTTTCTTAGAATCACCAGATGCTGATATTGCCATGGAGATAGCCACATCAGAACAGCATGTTTCTGAGGCTGTGTATGATTGTGTTATTTGTGGACAGAGTGGCCCTTCCACTGAAGATCGACCTACAGGACTAGTTGTGCTTTTACAAGCCTCTTCAGGTATGAAAAGGGGATTATTGCAAGAGCCACTGTTCCAGGAGTCCTTGACAGCATAAACCATACTGTTAAGGTGCCTCATGGAGCCTGGGAAAGGGGATGAGGGAGACATGCTTCCATATGGATGGTCCTTGCATCATGCAGATCTGTAGGTTTAAAGAGCTCTGTAGGTTTAAAGAGCTAAACACTTGGCCTCTTCTGTGGGGCTGGAGATGAGACGGAGGCTCATCCTGTTTACCCTCCCAATCCTCCAAATCCTCTTGAATAATCCCAAAGGAAAACCTCCTGATGAGAGCATAGGAACCTGGTATTAAAGGAAAAATGTAAAAATTAGCAGTGTATATACAGTATGTACTTACTCCATCAGAGCATAGAGCAAAAGACATTATTTTCACAAAGTAGTTTTTATTTTTTTCCTACCATTTCTGTTAGCAACAGAAACAAAACCTTTTATCTGACAAATATGGTTATACCTACAATTTCCTGGGGTAAATTTTCATTTAATCTTTTTTCATTGGGCATATATCATTGTCCATTTTACTCTTGCTCATCTTTTTTCTATGTATAGTTTTGGGGCAATGTCGCAATAGCACTGAGCCAAAGAAACTACCTACCAGTGAAGAGGAGCAAATATACCCTTCGGATACATGTGCAGCAGTACATGATGTTAGGCTTACAACATTACAGCGGTACTTTAAAGATGTAAGTATTGATACAGGGCAGTACTATCATCTCTAAAAGTGCTATGAAAAAACATGAATTGAATTACCAGTTGTATAATAATTGTGCGCAGTGTATTTAGAATTGGACTTCCTGATTTTATTTCTGCCTTTTTGTTTTTTGAAAAATTAATTGAAATAAGAATGGTGTAAAGTATTTAAATTTGATAAGCTCCTTGGTTTTTTTAATTTAGGGCCTAATTCTCCTTGTGCAGGTTATTCTGCATAGGTCGGTGGAAACTCTGCAAGCTAAAATTTTCATACAATATCCTTGCAATACTGGAATAGTGGATGTCATTTCAAAAGATAGTGTGGCTAAGGGAATGAGACTTGGATTGCCATATTAGAGACCTCAGTTCTATTTCCAGTTCTGGTAGAAGTGACCTTTTTCATCCTCCCAGTTATTTTTTCTGCGGAATGAAGGAATGATAGTTGTCTACCTAGGGTAAAGATATAATGCCTGGTTAATAAGAATACACTGAAATATTAACAGGGATCAAAACAAGAAGAGTCAGATGGTCAGCCCACTGCACTTTCCCCTAGGTGACTGGGTATACTTTCTCTATGTCGCAGCTCCAGTCTGGGTTCTGCACATAGTTGCTGTGACATTCTGTGCATTGCGCCCAGCAGCCCAGTTCACCTCCTCATAAAACCAAAAACAATGTCTAATAACTTATTAATTGTTAGGTTTTGGAGCGGGTTCTTGGTACTGAACACTAGATCTCAGCAGGGCTAGCCCAGTCATAACTTATGTAGAGACCGCCTATAGTTTTATCCTTGTCTCTGTACAAAAAAGTATTGTAAAAGAGTGAACATTTTAAAAAACAGGTCATTTGCTGGGGAGGGAGTTGTATCTCCGAATCCTGGGGTCCAGTGACCCCAGATTTGCAGCACAAACGCTGGACCCTCTGCTGGCATACCAGTTTTCAAACTGATCTAACTAGACACGTGGAGCTTAGAACACTGAAACTCTGGTTTTAAACAGAAAAGTCGCTGCCATCTTAACTCTAATGTGACTTGTGTCAGCCCCATGATGGCATTATATCATTTAGATGTTACCTTTCATTTCATGATGCTATTTTGTTAACCCTAGGGTGACCAGGCAGCAAATGTGAAAAATTGGGACAAGGATTGGGGGGTAATAGGAGCCTATATAAGAAAAAGACCTCAAAATCGGGACATCTGGTCACCCTAGTCAACCCTAGCATAATATACTTGTGCTATAAATACTCACCAAAGAATGACAGTAATGCACTTACTTTGACCTGTTGCGATTAATAATATATTGCTTTTGTCAAGCTCAGAAGGAAACCTGTTAACAAAGTGCAAAACTTGGTAAATGTTTACTTGGTTAATATAACTGTGGGTCTTTGTCTGGCAGTGTTTCAAACTGCAAGTGGACAGTTATTCCCCAGTGAAATGTTTTAAAAAAATGTATGTAATCTATATCTGTATGCTTTTCTCATGATACAAATATCGGAGGATTTGGTGAAAAGTGTATTTTATCTAAACTCGACCTTATGGAAGTGTAACTTCATGATCAATCAGATTTCTCCCTTCCTGTGAGGCTACATTGAGTTTTTGTAAAATAATCTAAAAGCTACTGTAATGACTCAGTGGCTTAATACTTTCTGCTCTAAAAAACTCTGGTTTCAATTCAGACATTAGTTGGATTAGTTGTTTCTGCTTTCAAGTTTCTAGATCACTACTGTGCTAAAAATGTCTCTGCATGAAAGAACAAATCCTTAAATTTCTTATTGGCATAAAAACAGAAACATCTGTTAGTGTCTTGAGTGGCTTGTTCCGCTGAGCTAAGCAATAAGAAATCCTTTTGTTGATCAGCTGTGCCCTCAGCGGTAGGTGTCCTTCCCGTAATGACAAGTACTGCAGAAGATTTCAGGAGACAGAAGGATGATTTTACTTAGTTGTGAAAATTGTAAGATACAAAATAGAATCCATACTCTTCCACTTGAAGAAAAACATAAACACTGTTTCAAAAGCCATATACTATACAGTGCAAAAGAAGGTCATTTAAAGTTTTTTCTTAAAGTTTTACCTTTTTTGGCTGAAATTTGGTGTATTTGCTCAGTCAGGGAAAAATGGCTGAGCTATTTTTAAGAATGGAAAGTGTGTGTCGGGGGATGGGGGGGAGAGAAATAGTGTTTTTTCAACTGTGGGAAAACTTAAAAGAAATAATCAACCCACAATTCTAGACCCTTAGAAACTGTTAAAATCTTGAAATTTGGCAGATAGGTAATCCCTAGTTCATTTATTGGTCCTTTGTTGTTTACACATGTTGTGGTAAAAATTCTCTTTTGATTTATTGAAGTTAAAAATGTTTAAAAATCTTACTTTGTGTATTCACACTGATTTATTGTCATATGACAAAACTAACAATCTGCCAACTTTCCAGTGGCACTTCATGTGCATGCGTATGTATCAATTGTGTGCAGACTTCCACTGAGTAGGCACTCTCTCACTGTTCTAAGGGATTTGCACATGCACACATAAGAAAGTTTAATGGAATTTCAATTTTAACAGGTAGGGAGATTGTGGAACATGATCTAGTAAGGTGCATGTGGAAGGAAGCAGGACTTTAAGGAAGCCTTTTGTTTGTGTGAGGCCCTGTACCTTATTTACTGCATAAAATCCACATCTGGCTCAGAAGCAGGAATTTTTCTTGATAGATTTTTCAGTGGTGTTTATCATTTTTGATTGCCTCACAAATATTAATAACTTTGTCCTAATGTAACTCCTGTTCAGTACAGGTAAAAATGTGGTATCACCATTTCATTTGGGAGAACTGAGGCATAGAGAATGTGTTATTTGATGAAGGTCTGTGGTTGAACTGGCAGTAAAATCTACATCTCTTGATTATCCTTCCTCTTCCTGTGGACTCCTGCCTTATTCACTATCTGCACCATCCCTTTTATGTAATAAATGATGCAGACACCAATCTCTCTGGCTGCAGACAATGAGCTTTCTCAGTGAATGAGGCCACTGTATTCTGGGACTCATCCTAGTTCACTATATAATCTCACTTGATTCACCACCCAACCTGTCCCTCAATCAGGTGGGGGCCAGCAGGAAGAAGAAAGACTGTGTTATGGTTAAGGTGATAGATTCAGGCCTTGGAGAGCTATAAAATGTTATAAAATCAAATTGGAGCCGGTAAAATAGAAGAATGTCCTATATGCTCAATTGCAGAAAAAGAGAGGTGTTCTAGCACCAAAAAAAGCAAACCACCACTATGTTATTTTTACATTCTCCATTATAAATCATTGCAGGGCAAGTCTGTTTTAGGGCTAAAACAGGTATTTTTGCTGATCATTTTTACTGTTCTCTCTTCACTATTAGGACAAGGTTTTTGTGTAAATGTAATACATGCATTTTAATTTTGTGATTGAAACTGTTGTTCATGAAATGAGAAGTAATAAAACTGATTATAACTAGATATATTACATGCATGTATTATAAAAGTTTCTCATCGTAACTCTCTGTTTTTCCAGCTGATCATTTCTTGAGTTAGAGTACCATTCACCAAATTGTGTAGTTCTTTGATGTGGCCAAATAATTTGTTGGCATCATCCTAGCACTCTATGCTAAGCTTTAGACCTGGGCTAAGGTTTGACTTCAGATCTCCACAGCCCAAAAGTTGATACACTGAATTATTGTGCCACTTAATGCCTTTTTTCATCTTGTACTGTATTCCTAACTGTATTGCTAATCAGTTAGCAAGAGAATTGAAGTTTTTGAATTGAATTAAAATGGGATAGATATTTAATTATGCAACTGTGGACATTTTATTAATGTATATGATATATGTTATGTTCAAAGCCTTATGGCATCATTGTATTGCTCATGTTGAATGAAATATATTGGCGTCCGCTTTTCTGAAACAGGAAAAAGTTTGTAGTTTTACAGCAGAATGGACTTTAAAAGCTCTCTGAATACAGTGAATGCCAGAGATTCTTTTAAAAAGATTGCTTTGGTGCTGAAATAATGTGTAACTTAGGGGAGTGGAGCGTATTAGAAGTTCAGAAATAAAATTGCAAGAACTACATTGTGACACTTACCTTTAGTATAACTATGAATGCTTTAACACGGTAAAATCTATGTGAACTCTATATGCATTTTATTCCTCCCTAATTCTATCACCATCCTGGGAGACAAACGTTTGCAGTATTATAGCTTTAATAAGAGCTTAAATTTGCTTTTCAATGCAAAGCACAGCAATAGGTATATAGTGGAAGGATTATTATAACTAAGACCTATAAAAGTGAAAGAAATATTTATTGAACAACACATGTATACATTTTAGTTGGAAATGTCTGTTGAATAACATCATGTACATTTTTTTTTTTAAAGAGTTCCTGTCTGCAAGCAGTGTCTATAGGCTGGGAAGGAGGTGTTTATGTACAAACTTGTGGTCATACGTTACACATAGATTGTCATAAATCTTACATGGAATCATTAAGAGTAAGTTGATCTGCAATTCCAAAAACTGTCTTGTATTGTTTGCACCTGATCTTGCTCCCATTGAAGTCAATGGGAGCTTACCACTAATTTAAATGGAAGCAAGACTTAGTCCTTTTTATTTTCTACATTGATGTGCTAGGCTTTTTTGATCATCTTCCAAACAGTGTACTTTTAACATCTCCTTTTTATTTCTTCTTTACATTTTTTATAAAAAATTGACTTTATATCTAATTATGTTGACCTACCAAAGCAAATATACAGAAGAAAAGTTGAACAAATTAATCTCACTGTTTAAAAATATTGTAATTATGCTATGTATATACTGTATGTCTAGTAAATTTTGGTTGAAAACTGCATTCCCATTTCATGGATAAAACTTTTTATTCAAACTTGCTCTAACTAGTCAGGGACCCAGAAAGTTACAAAGGTAATTCTGTCAGTTTGCTGGAGACTGTCTAAGTACCAGGACTACCTGTTTGAAGCTCAAATTACACTTAGTCAGCACTGTTCCTGCAGTGCTCTCAGGAGTGGGGATCTGATGAGGCACTTTGTGAAGGTGAAAATGGGAAGTTACGTACAGTAACTGAAGCTCTCTGAAGCTTTCTCCCCTTCCCCTTATAGCTCCACACTCCTCTTCCGTATTGCTTTAGAGTCCATTGAGATTTGTTGTAGTGGAGAGGAACTGAGCCGTTCCATCTGGCATGATGCCCTCCAATGGCTAGGTTCTTGGTCTCTGGACTATAGTGTGAACTAAGTTCAAGAATGTATTTCTCCTGAGACAGTAACTTCAGGTATTTCCCATTCTGATAAGTAAATTTGCCTTTTGCCAGATGGATAGTAATAAAGTTAATAAGGGAAACTTTCAAACTCTAAGGCAGTTGCTAACAATCAGCAATAAAAACCAAACATTAAAAGCCACTTTAACCCCTTCCCCCCACACTAGCCCCACTATTTCCCAGTGATGGAAGGCGTTCTGCAATGTCACAGGGTTCTCTGTTGTTGGTATAGTGTATACCTATACTGACAATGTTAAGGTTTGTAATTCTATATTGCTCCTTGTTCTGCCTGAAATAACAGGAGTCAAGCAGAGTAGGAGAAGTCCTCTGGTGAGTGCTCCATGTCTAGGGTTACCATACGTCCTCTTTTTCCCGGACATGTCCGGCTTTTCAGCAGTCAAACCCCTGTCCAGGGGGAATTGCGAAAAAGCCGAACATGTCCGGGAAAATGGCGGCTCTGCTCCTCCCCGACTCTTCGGCTCTGTTTAAGAGCCGGGCTGCCCGAGAGCTACCGGCTTTGGGCAGCCCCCGTGCCTCCGGACCCTGCGCCGCTGGAGCCCGGGAGGGGAAGTGCCCGGCTGGGAGCGCAGGGTCCGGAGGCATAGGGGCTGCCCGAAGCCCAAGCGCTACCGGCTTCACGGTTTGCTGGGCAGCCTCCAGACCCTGCGCCCCCGGCTGGGCGCTTCCCCTCCCGGGCTCCAGCTGCGCTGGGGAAGCGCCGGCTGGGGGCGCAGGGTCTGGGGGCTGCCCGGCAAACTCTGAAGCCGGTAGCGCTGGGGCAGCCCTTTCCCCCTGGCTGGGAGTGGGAGGGAGGAGGGGGCGGAGTTAGGGCGGGGAAGGGGCGGAGTTGGGGCGGGGCTAGGGGTGGGAAATGGGCGGGGCCAGGGCCCGTGGAGGGTCCTCTTTTTTTATTTGAGATATGGTAACCCTATCCATGTCCCACGCAGAATTTGGTCAAGCAAATCGGAGTGTCAGTTAGAGATGATACAATCACTGTTTTTGTGATATGGGAACAGCAGGAATATCTCTCCTTTAACTGTGGGACATATTAACTATGGGATTGTCTTGGACATTCTGGAATACTTGTAAATTATGGGGATATCATGAGACAGTCTTAGTAATTAGAGTGCTCTTACAAAATTAAGCACATATTCATATCATTCTTGGTTTTCAGTTATTTGTAGATGGTCTATATTTTTATCTGTGAGATATTGTCTATAAAATTTCAAGAACACAATTGTCATCTTCACTGAGTTCATATGTATCTACCTTTTTTTTTATTTATTTTTTAGAATGACCAGGTCCTCCAGGGTTTTTCTGTGGACAAAGGAGAATTTACCTGTCCCCTCTGTAGGCAATTTGCAAACAGTGTTCTTCCTTGTTATCCTGGAAACAGTGTGGAAAGAAGCCTTTTGCAATGTCATAGTAACAAGAGTATGCAAGATCTTATAAAAGAGGTGGAAGAGCTTCAAGAACAGCTGGGAACTTTCCCAGTAAGCATCAGTGTAAGGCAGAAAGATCCTTGTTAATTTGCCTCTATCTTTCAACTTTGTTTCATATTTCTTTCTGTGACTTATTTAAATTATAAAGCCACATTTTTCCTCCTCTTTCTGTATGGGAAAATTGTACTATTTTTAATGGATTAAATGTAATCAAATAAAAACAGAGTTATGACCAAAATATTATTAATCTAAAAGTTTATTTTTTGAATGGATTTTTCTTATTCATTTAATTCAATTCATTCTTGTAATTTACATAGAACTGAATCGTATTTTATGAAGCTCACTATATTTTTTCAATGTAAAACATGAATCCCTTGTAACTGGAAGCTATTTAAAGTATGTTCAGAACATGTAATCGTATGGATTATTTGTTTTGCAAAGATAACAATTTACATCTACTCATACATAATATAGCTGCTTTATAATGTCATTCAATGTAATTAAATCTGTAAAATCATGTTAGTCTTCCAATCTCATATGAAATACCTCTATTTAAAAGGTATTTCAGAGTAACAATACTTCCATTTACTAAGGATTGCAATTTTAAATGTGTTATTTTCATGTACTTGTTGCACAATCCATATGCCCCATTGACTTGACTTTAGGATAGCACAGACTAAAAATTCTGTACATTATGTAGACAAAACAGTGAAATTGCTTTGTCCATCTCCCTGCCTATTCAGAATATACCTTTCTACTAGACAAAAAAGTATGATAGCAGCTGTTAATACATATTTTTCATATAACACATAAATGTTATTGTGTATAGCTATACTGACAATGTTAAGCTTTGTAATTGTATATTGCTTTTCTCCAGATGAGTAAATGAACCTATTAATGCCTTTTCTTTTTTCGTAGTCTGAAACCAATCTTAGTAAGGAAATGGAATCTGTAATGAAAGATATAAAAAGTACGACCCAGAAGAAATATACAGACTACAGTAAGACTCCTGGATCACCAGACAATGATTTTCTCTTCATGTATTCTGTAGCTAGGTAGGTCCATTAAGCTATTTTGACTGTTCCTTTTGCATTTGTTATTAGTAATAGTGCCCCAAAAAATAATTAGTAAAACCCACCAAAATCATGAGATTTAAAAAATAATAATAAAGTTTGGGTTCTTTTTATTTTCTGTTTTTTCAACATGTAGGGTGCCCTCGGGTCACATTTTTCACTCTAGGACAATCAGAGCTAGAATTTTAGGGAGGGGGTTGTTTTGTGTTTGTTTTTGTTTCTTAATGAATTCTGAGTTTCACATGTATTCACATAACTCCAACCGCTGGAGCTTTAAGAAAAACACACATTATTGTGAAACTTGTCATAACATCACTAGTTGTGTGAAGTGAACTATCTGTGTCGAAATGGACCTTAGGAGACAAGGGTTAAATAAGAATAGCTAGTCTAATGAGGTGGAGAGATGGGACCTGAGTTCTGCATATCCTCTGAAGGACCACATCTCCATTATCAAGGGACACAACCACCGTGTTGGGGCATTGGCTTAGCACTGACTCAAAGGAATGAGGTGTTGCTTACTGAATAGTCAACATATCTTCCCATAGGTCACCCATTTATGTATTGATTGGGCCTGAGCCTACTTAATATCGGAGAGCTGACTGGCTCTCAACACAAGTTGTTATGGCTACAGAGTGCTATTCTTACAGACTTACTTGTGTGGGAAAAAATGCAATTAAAGCAAAATAGAATTTGCTAATCAAAGAGCCTGTTTAATTTCTTTGAGTCTAGCTCATTCAGCATAATATCTTCTTTCCTCCCATGTTACAAAGTTTTCTTTTATGGTACTGCAGCTAGTTATTTTCTGCTTGAGAAATAGGAAAATGTTAAATAGTAATGATGTGACATACTAGTATGAGGACTAGCAACCTTTTCTTGGACAGGCAGGAAGCTACTCTAGTGTGGCTGAGCAGGTGAAGTTTGACAGAAGAGCAATGGTTTCCACACAGTGATGAATAGCTGTACCCTTAGAGCAGTGGTCTCCAACCTTTTTACGCACAAGATTACTTTTTGAATTTAAGTGCAATCCAGGATCTACCCTGCCCCTTCCCTGAGACTCAACCCCTTCCTCAAAGCCCCACCCTGCTCACTCCATCCTCCCCTGTTGCTCGCTCTCCCCCATCCTCACTCATTTTCACCGGGCTGGGGCAGGGGGCTGCAGGCTCTGGGCTGGGGCCGAGAGGTTTGGAGTGTGGGAGGGGATGAGGGGTGTAAGTTCTGGGAGGGAGTTTGGGTGCAGGAGGGGGCTCCGGGCTGGGGCAGAGTGTTGGGGTGTAGGAGGAGGTATGAGGTGCTGGCTCCGGGAGGGGGGTCAGGGATGGGACAGGAGGTTTGGGGTGCAGGAAGGGGTATGTGGTGCTGTCTCTGAGAAGGGGCTTAGGGCTGGGGGTTGGGGTGTGGGCCCCTGCCTGATGGCATCTACCTCAGGGGGCTCCCGGTCGGCGGTGCAGCGGGGCTAAAGCAGGCTCCCTGCCTGCCCCAGCCCCACGCTGCTCCCGAAAGTGGCCAACACACCCCTACGGCCCATGGGGGGAGGGGTGCACACGGCTCCGTGTGCTGCTCCTGCCTGCAAGCCCCGCCCCACAGCTCCCATTGGCCACAGTTCTCTGTTCCCGGCCAATGGGAGCTGCGGGGGTGGTGCTTGTAGACGGGAGCTGTGTGTGGAGATCCCTGCCTCCACCCCCCCCCCAACTCCCTGGGGGGGCTGCAGGGATGTGCTGGCCACTTCTGGGAGCAGAATGGGGCCGGGGCAGGCAGGGAGCCTGCCTTAGCCCCGCTGCGCTGCCGGACTTTTAGCGGCCAGGGATTGCGATCAACTGGCAGAGGTTCCAGGATCGACCAGTCAATTGCGATCTACGAGTGGTGACCACTGCCTTAGAGTGTTATAAAAACAAAAGGAAAATTTAAGCAGTTTAGCTATGAACTTCAGGATTTTGTTAAAATGCGAATGCTAATATTTAATATTTGATCAGCATCAATTTCTTTTAAAACCCAATTATGGTTGCTTAGTGGCAACAGTTTACTGAGTTATCATGTGCAAAACTGAAATACTGGAAAGCAAGGAAATGACCAGTTTAAGGTACAGTATCATAAATCTTAAACTGCCTGCATAATAGCCTAACCATTTACTCTTTATCACGGGTTTAAAAAAAAAATTGCATCATAATGCACATTAATTCCTGAAATAAATACTGTTCTTTCATCAGTAATCTCAAAAGAGAACTGCAGCATACAGTTCTTCTTAAAACACACTGATTCCGTTTGAAATGCAAATCCACACACATCGTTTTTTTTGTAAATAAGTTAAGTTATACACTTTTCTTTTTCAACGAAAGGCCTCATCCTGCAATTTGATTCCTACACCTGGGTTCGTACCCCCACCCAGTGCACCACTGACTTCAGTGGGCCTCAGTAGGGGCACAAATGTCTGCTTCCAAGGGTAGAACTGCAAGATCTGTCCATATATGTACAAGAAAGAACAATGATACATAGTTTTTAAAACAATACTGATAATGTTTCCCGTTTAATACTGTCCGTTTAAAATGTTTGGAAATTGAAATCAAGATGATAAAAATCATGGGTCAGAGTCAAGGCTGTGTTGTGGTGAAATATGCATTGATAAGAATAAAGTGGACAGTATAAGACTTATGGACCAGGTTCTGTCCTATGCCAGTTGTCCTTTGTGCCTCTTTGGCAGCTTAAAGGGAACTTAAAGCTACCGTAAAAAAGTGCAGCTGGAGATTTTGCTTGCATAGGGATTCACCTGATTGTGTAAACCCAGCTCTATCAGCTTTGTACCGCCCACTTCCAGCCAGTCCTCTTCCCTCAGTCTTCCCCTCCTTTTTGCATGGATTGCATGCTGATTATCGCTGCCCGCATAATGGCCCTTAGGCAATGCCCATGATCAGGGATAAGTGAATGAGAAGAAAGGTGGCCTAATGCCACCCACTTTTCTCCTCCCTTTCCTCAGCTGTGCACCAAACAGAGCCCTGGTGCATCTATAGATTGATGAGCCCTATCATATCCCTAATTAATCACTTCCTGATTTTGTAAGTGATGCAAAGGGTAAATATATTGTTATAATTTAACATAGCAACCTTAACTGGTAAAAGAAAGTTTTTGGTTTTGATATAGTTTCTAATGATGATTTTTTGTTAATTCTGAGTAACATTTTAATCCTCTTCTGAACAATTTCATTTATTGATTCCAAATATTTAAAGCTTTCATACAAATATTTTGCTGATTCAAATACAGTCATGTCACAGTAAAGATTCACAGCCCTGTTGTGTCTATTATATATCCATAAAAACTAACCACTGTTGCCTTTATTTATAAAACAAACTAGTCAATTAAATGGAAAATTATTTGAATTTTTTAAAGAATACTTTAGTTGCATTTTGTTTCATAATAATTGTTTAATGATTTTCTTGGGTCTTGTTGACATTGTAAGTAGAATATTTAGCTAATGTGAAAGAGTAACTTCATTTTTATGTATAATTTCAAAATAGAAAACAGTTATATTTACATGGAGTGTACTATAATCTATACACTCTATTGTATATAAGGGTACACAGTTGAGGTTTTCTTGTCGCTCTGTTTAGCTCAACAAATGAATATGTTCCTTGTGTGAAAAATGATTTGCTTAAATGCCTTTTTAAAATGCAAAAACCTGTTTATAATAATATAAAAGGTATGCAACATAGAAAATGTCAGCTGAACCAATTTAAAAAGTAAATTGGACATTCTGTGTTTGTGCTAAAATCTAAATTCAGAATTCAGCGTTTCTCCTGTGAGAGTTAAAAAATATCCCAGACCAGAACAGTGTTACATTGTTCCTTACACTGCTTTAGAAGTAAATGACATGAACATCCTTTAGGGTGGGAGAGATAAAATTCACTCCCCATCCATGGCTGTTCTTTCATCCTTTAGACTGGATAAGTGGTTGCTGCTTTCTGTTTCTCCTACATGGACATTTTCAGACACTGGATCCACCCACTCCATATTGTTCCCATACATGTGAAGTAACATGGAGGGCCTTTGCCAGGTCTTTTGCAGCAGTGTTAATTTCACTCTTAATGATTTAGAACTTGATTCAGCAATCCAAATGTGCACAGAACTCCTATTGAATTTTATCTGTATAAGGACTATAGAGTTGGAATATCTATGATCATAAACCTTAATTTTAAAAGCTTTTACTTTAACCTTAATATACATACCATTAATAGAAATAAGAATATGTCCTATGCAGGTCAGCAGTTCACCTCCTTATTTGAAGCAGGATTGTTCTTTGTTGTAGGTTTTTCTAGTGTCTTGTTTTGTGTAATTTTAAATGTCCATGGAAGAGAGTATCCTCCACTTCACTGCTAAATGACAGAATAATACTCCTCACTATCAGGAAGTTTATCCTGGTATTCAGCCTAAATTTTCCCTTCTTAATCCTATCTCATTTCTCCTTTTAGCACACTAAATAACTGTTCTGGATGTTTCTGCTCTTTGTAGATTCTTACCTTCTTGCCCACTTTTCTCCTTTTGTGTCTGTCTTAGTCAAACTGTATATAGTTGGTTCACTATTATTATTAATTTGGTTCTGCCTGTGTAAAATACACTAGACACTGTACAAACATGGAAGAGCTTACAATCAAAAACATGGACAAATAGAGAGTTGTGGTAAAGGCACAACGTAAAGTGGTCAAGATGACAATTGGCCACTTCCTAATAAAGCACTAATCAAAAATATTTTTTGATTATATCCACTGGACCTGCAACTTTGCCATTTTATTAGCCAGTGAATTAATCTTTAAATCTCTGAATCTTCTTGCTTTAATCAGCCCTTTGTCCCATTTTCTGTCAGAGGACAGGCTGGGGTATCTGTAGTAAGAGAAATGTCCTTCCCTGCCTTCTCTAGGTAGCCATTTTGCAGGTAAGAAGAAATTTTGAAGCAAAGCTGAGGAGAAGATACTATAGGCAATAGATGAAAGGGGCATTTGGGCAGCCATTTGTAAACTCCACATACTGAAAGTGGGGTGTTATTGATTGAGTTATGGTGCCCTGAGGTAGCCAGTGGTAGCAGTTCATTCCTTTCCATAGCAGTGTGAATGCAACATCCTTTCCTCACCTATTACTTTCTTGCTGCCTGGACACATGCAAGTAGAGGTAAAGGAGTGGAAGTAGAGGGGGTATTCTGCAGCTCTTAAGGGGGAGAGAGCTGGTTCTTGCCAGCTGTCCCAGTACTAGAGACATTCCGTGGCCATTGCCTCCTGGTCTGTGTGTGCAGCTGGAGAAGAAGCTACTTAGCTATCTATAGAGGTTCCGTCTTTCTTTCACCCAATCTCTTATCTTGCTACCTAAGTCTGTTCCTCCATTTGCTCCATTTCTCTCTCTTCACAGGCGTTTATAGGCCTGGTACAGTGGTGTATGTATGTGTGACGGTGCTGCCCGTGGGAGCCAGCTGAGGTCACTCAATTAGGGTGAACTGCAAACCAAACGGGGCAGACAAACCCCAAAAGCTGGTGGATATTCCAATATTTATGTTTACCAAGCCAGCACAAAACAGCTTCTATAGTACCTCAATGGTTACTCAGAAGTCCAAACAACGCAGGTTCCTTAAAGTACCCAGCCTCAGGCCTCCATCCAGACATACACGTCAGATATGATGATGATTACTGAAAATCTTATCTCATTATATAAAAGAAAAGGTTCTTCCAATTCCAAAGGATCAACCACATACCCAGGTCCAATTATAACTTAGATCTTACCCAAAATATACGCTATAGTCAATTCTTATTAACTAAGCTAAAATTTATTAAAAAAGAAAAGAGTGAGTGTTGCTTAAAGATCAATATACATACAGACTTGAATTCAATTCTTGAGGTTCAGATACATAGCAGAGGTGAGCTTGTAATTGACAAAAGTCCTTTTAGAAATAGTCCAGAGGTTATAGTCCAATGTCCATATTCAGGGTGGCTCTAGACAATGACTGGGGATCTCAATCCTTATGGCTTAAGGGTCCCCCCTCTTGAAACCCAAAGTAGATCTGAGATGAAGAAGGGTTGTGTCCCAGGGTTCTTCTACATTTCCAGCAGCCTTTCGGCCTGAGAAAACAATAGGCTTAATTCTCCTTCCAAACATTCTGGCAATTAGCACAGGGTAATTTATCCATTAAACAGTTCAGATACAGGTTACCACAACCTTCACAGAGACATATAGACAATAATACTATTTCACTCAAGTATCATCATAAATGTTAATATTCTTTTTTTGATCTTTGAATTAAAGTTATAGCAATAGACAAGACTTGTTTGCTTACATCACAAGACCTGAGCAAACACCTACCCTTCTACCTCTAGCAATACAGACTTACATTTCAAAGCTCTATTCATTTACCTATCTTCCTAACCAGTCTCTACAGGTCAGCCATGGGTCAGGTCAGTCTGTGAGTTAATTAACTCTTTCTGGCCCTGTCACCTTTCAATGAGAGATTATATTATACTCATAACATCACTGTATGTTACTTTTAATTGTAATAGCTCCATGTTGTACTGATGGTTGTCATTTGTGGCAGCATCATGTAAACTGCTTCTGCTGCATTGCATATGATAGATCTCTGCTTTTTTGGATGTTTAGACAAAGCCATTGTTTATGCTGTCAGCTATGTATACATTGACACACAGTTCTCCCTTGCCCCTCCTTTCCCTTTCACTGACTCGTACATGCTAACTCTTTAAAGAGATGAGAGAGAGAGGCAGTGGTAGTGGTAGTGGACTTTCCCATTCTAATACTTGTTCCTGTGAAAAGGTAGGAGAGGGGCTGGTTCCTCCAGACATGCTTTCCACCCCATTATCTGCCCCTCCTGGTCAAGAGCAGTAGCAGAGGGTTAACTTATCTATACCCCTGTATTACTCTGTGTTCTGATGGCTACTAAAAAACAAGGCATTACATATATTTTCAGATTAATTGGTGTTCACAAGCACGAGTTAAAAACGGTCCCTTCCTTGCAGCAGAAGGAAGCAAGGCCTGAGCCAAAGCAGCCCTCCCTTCTCAGTTTCTTCAGTGGGAGGAAGAGCAATCCAAATGAGGCTGTGCTACCTGTGTCCCTGCCCCAGTGAAAGCTGGAGAGGCTACGCTTCCTTTTGCTTCTCCTCTTCTGAGAGAGATGGAGTATCAAGCTGGAAGTGGCTGATCTCTCTTGCTTTTAATTGAGGGAGGTGGGATAGTGGAGGATAAGAACAGCCCTACTGGGTCAGACCAAAATTCCATCTAGCACAGTATCATGTCTTCTGACAGTGGCTAGTGCCAGGTGCCCCAGAGGGAATGAACAGAACAGGTAATCATCAAGTGATCCATCCCCTGTCGCTCATTCCCAGCTTCTGGCAAAAGGATTCGATTGAGAGACAAGTTTACTTTCCACTCTCTTATTTAGAGTATGTCAGGTGCCCCTACTTTTCCATCAGTGACAGGAGATTAGATGGTGAGAGTTCAGCTTTACTTTTCTCCATCAGTGGGTGATTGACTGTAGGGGCTAACCAATACGTTAGTATGGATGGGAATGTGAATGGGGATGAAGAAAACAGGAAGTGTAGTGCAGGTCTCTCCAACAAGTGAACTTTGAGCAGGGGGTTGGACTAGATGACCTACTGAGGTCTCTTTGAACCCTAATGTTCTATGTTTTTGGGTAATATGGGGAAAAAAGCCATGTAGAAAGTGCCTATTTATGGGAGAAGTGCTCTAGTCTCTCAGAAGATTGAGCATAATAGGGGAAAGTATCTCCCATAAATATGAGCATGTTTGGAGGGGATGCCTCACTGGAAGAGGGCTGGTGTTTCTGCTGTGGAGATATGATACGCTATAAGGAGGTGCCGTACTCTCTTGGGAGGGAAAGAGAGTGAGTGTGCTGGGGGGAAGGAGGGCTGGGGAGAGATTGTCACCAGGACTCTCCTCCTACGGAGCATAGTACTGCATGCATGTCTTGTTCTGTCAGATTTGTCCTTGACTTTTGCTTTTGTAAAATTATATATATGTCTTAGTGAAAGGAAAATTGAAAATTCTAGATATGACAAATTTGTTCTTAAGAGATTGAGATACTGTTTCTGATTATCTGATTAAATCATTTAAATAACATCTAGCAAATGTCTTGGTTATAGTAGTAGAAGACTGCCATTAATTTACAAATTAGTCATCAGAAGATTTGTAGAAATAAAACATTTTGTCTCATTTATATTCCAAAGATGAACTAACACATGCTGATCTACACTTGCTATTCTGCCCACTAATATGAAATCCCTGTCCCTGCTTCTTTGCTGGTAGGTTTTTAGAAGTTCAGTGAGCACTGCAAATCGCCTGAAGAGTGGAAAATTCCCCTGTCACACAGATGCCCTTATCAGCAGCTACCAGATGGAGCTCTGAGCAGGAACATTATCAGTGTTAAATTGTCCTTTTTTTTTTTTTTCCTGAGTAGAGAGGATTAAAGCATTCCTTCAGAAATGGGTGGCATGAGCTGCAAATTTAGGGATATTAATATTTTGAAATGTTACTATTTTAGAAACATATGAAAGTATCTTTACAAACACTGTATATCAAGAACCCAGTAGTCTCTTAAACCGATAGAGCTGAAATTTTTCCAAAATATTTTATTTTGAATGAAGTATTTTTCTGTTCTCTTCATCCTGTAGTTTAGATTAAATATGCATATGCCTAAAATTCTAAAATAGGTTTTCTTGAAATTAGTGATATTCAATCAAATTAAGCTGAGTCTAGAAATGGTTTATTTAATTTCAATTAAAGAAAAACTTATAAGGAAAAAGATTGCCGTTTGAATTAATTTAGCATAATATCACTTTAGCACAGTAATTTTGTCTTCCTACACCAGAAATGTAGGAATGCATCTTTATTTGTTAAAACAAACTTTCAGAAGACAAAATGTAAATTGCTTGATCAGTGTCTTGAGGGTAAACGGTAATACAGCACATAAACATCCAATTCCAAAGTCAAACATTGTTAATGAATTTGGCCAAAAAATAGTATCTAATTATCAGAGTATTATAGTATACTAAGAAATAAAGTGTTAACGTGACATGCAGGGATTTCATTGCACAATCCCATCTCATAATAATGAGTGACACAGCTAAATCCCAGTGCCTTTCACTGAAAATTTACCTCCACGGCTTCCAATAACATTGCTACCAAACAAAAGACAGGGCTTCCATTGTAATGGAATTAAAATAATCTGAAGATGAAGCATCTGATTTATGTTTGTTTGTTTGTAAATTACTTTAAAAAATTCTGTGCCTCACAAAGGAAGTCACATGTTCGTAATATATCTAACTTCTTAAAATTTTGTTGTCTTTCCAGATTTACACAAACATTCCACTAGCAGCAATGAGTTGTGAAAGTGTCTGAAAATGATACATGCCGCAAAATAAATGTATTTAGTTATCTGTAATGCAGTCACCGCTGTAGTTTGAGTGCCTCATACAATACTTGCCAACCAAGCTGTTTAAATCACAAAAGTATTATATTTTGCTATTTTTAATAGTCAAACCTTTCCTTTATGTAACCACCAAGCGACTAATGCACAGCGTTCTTCCCTATGGTATACAATGCGAGCTTATGGAAGTTCCTTTTTGTCACTTGAATACTGAAGTTCCATCCTAATAGCTTTATATATTTTATGCAGAACAAACTTGGAACTTGAACTGGTTCATCGAGGAGGCAATTTATGCTTAGGCGGGGCAAGCACAGCTGGAAAAAGATCTTGTTTAAGTAAGTTTAATTTATTGTATGATTTAAATTATTTTAAAATTAAATGAGAACTGTGAAATTTAGCTTAAAATAAAGATGCTGCCTGTTTTTACATTTTAGCATATTTTCTAGGTCTGCTATTGTCAACTTTTTATTATTTCTATGCTAGTTTTTTTCAGATTGCTAATTTTTTGTTTTTGTTCACTGTAATTTTCGTTAAGAGAAAACAGAAGTGTAACTTACAAAGAATATTCCTGTATTGTAAAGATAATCCATTTAGAAAGCAAATATCAAAACCATGTAATATCATTTGAATGACTTAAAATTATAAAAACAAAGCACCTATAAGCGTTTTAAAAGCAAAAGATAATGCTTATACAAAAGCAGTTTACTTTGCCAGAGAATTTTTATACAACCCTGGCAGCTATCGCTAGTAAGTAAAGATATCCACAACTTTGTGTTTGTGTAACTCACGCTAGATGAACACACTGACTCTTTAATGGGGGAGCTGGTGGTGACACCTATGTTTAGTTTGTTTAACATTTGTCATGATAAAAATTCTTGTGACCGTTACTTTGAGAAGCTTTTACACTTCCATTGTTTTTAGAAACACCTTGCTGTTTGGCAAGGAGAGCTAAGAAGTACCTTTTCTTTCTCCCATGAATTCGCTGAGATATAAAGTATTAAAAATGATAATTTCCCTTCTGTGGTTTACCTTTTTCAGGGAAATTTGGGCAGCCTGCCAAAATAATAACAGCACATTTTTAGGCTGGGCTCATGCTGCAGCGGATGCTATACTGGGAAGGCTAGGGAGCTATCACAGCAGCTATAGTTGAGGGACCTGGACTGGGCTAGGCTCTCCACCCAGACTGGCACATGGTCCCAGTGGCCCATGCTCACCTCTTGGGCACCACATGGACCAGGAGCTTACCCCAGCCCCTGGGGTGGGGTGTATGTGTGTGGCGGGGGAGCTGGGGCTGGGCTTTGTCACCCACAATCACTGCCAAGACCCAGCATCAGGACCCTGTGATTCATTCCCTTTCTTGGAGGAGTAGAGGTGATGCAACCTTCCGCTTTTACCAGCCAATTTAGTTAGTTCTGTAGCTTAAGTGATTTGCAGTCTGTGGGTACGTCTACACTACGAAATTAGTTCGAATTTATAGAAGCCGGTTTTATTGAAATCGGTTGTATACA